ATATATATATATACATATATATATATACATACATCGGTGAAGACACGTGTAATACATAAAGAATTTTTATATAGCCTAATTTTCTATTTGTACGCGAACATAAGTTGAATTGCGCGGTTTGCTCTCCTTCATATTTTAGTCGTGCATTCGAAACGAGAGCCTTAGTCCCTTTTCGGCATATGAAAAACAATGCTTTTTATTGCAAACATTTGCTGTATCAGAAGTCGTTTCTACTAAACGTTTTTTACGAGTATATATATACATATATATATAATATATATATTATATATACACGTATATGTACGTATATCGCACGTACGTATGTATTTATGTATATGTTTTTTCTGTATACATATATTTAATATATATGTGTATTTTTTCATACTTTATTTCCTTATGTGCACGTTTTTGCGATCGAGCTAAACCTGCTCTCGACAGAAAAAGAAAAAGAACATATTCAGTTGAATAATGCGAGTGCCTCTATGCATTTGCACAGACTATTGTTATAAAAATGTGAACATACTTTTTTTTTTATTATCTTTGTATTGTGGATCGTGATATCATCTTCATTTTGTTTTATATATACGTCAATGTTGCGTTTAGTTTCCGCGTGGATCATATCAAAAGAGTGTCCAATATGATATGTACACGTGAGATACGTATTATTCGATATAGAATATTCAAATCACAGTGAAAAATAGAATTTGTTTACATTTATATAGATATATGTGTATATATATGTATATATATATATACACATATATGTATGTATGCTGCGACACATGATCGTTTCAGTGTCACAATGTCTAGAGAAAGGAAAAAAGAAAAGTAACGTAAATGTCTCGAAACTGATCTTGCAAAGTCTCCTTGACACGATCGAGAGTCGATAAAACAATGATTTTGAAATTTTTTGAGGAATTCTGTGCGTTGACTTTTCTTCAACGTTTTTTTTTTTCTTCTCAAGTGATATCTTTTCTTGGACACGGAAAAAAGAACGAGAGAGAAAGAGAGAGAGTGTCGAATTTTTCCTAGGCGTTCTCGTGATTAAACTCTAGCACAGAAAATACTCCGTAGTTTATAAATGAAACAGCAACAGTGGTATCGGGACACTTCAGGATTGCGAATTCGTTTACTTCTCGTGAGTTACATGTTACCATCGTTTGTCTGTAGAGAGACAGAGAGAAAGAATGAAAGAACGAGAGAGAGAGAGAGAGAGAGAGAGAGAGAGAGAATGCGTGTGTATGCAAAACCAATCGTTTGATAAAATCGTGTCTGTAAATAAACGAACTATTAACCTTCGCTTTGCCAGTGGTCTCAAGGTTTGTTAGTGTCTTTTCAACTTATGACTTCGAAAAAAAAAAAAGAGAGAACTTCTGCGTTTTACGCCGCGATTTTTACATATTTTTAAACGACAACGTAAAAAGGAGTCTTGAAAGATCTCAAATATTAAGAAAACACGTGACCATCGATGCATTCGCTATTTCAACACACTGTTCTTTTTCGTGCTGTTGTGATTATAATAAGATTGTGTCGTTCAAAGAATTATACATTTGGTTGGTAACACACAGTGTCAAATTATAATCGCCATTATTATCATCATCTCGAAATAATTCGGGGCGTTATCTTTATCACAATATCCCGTCATATGATGGTTTAATCCTGCAATGGCACTTTTTTTTTCTTCAGTGGCAATGTGCAAATTTGATTCGTGACTGCAATTGTGTATACGGCAATGTAACAGTTTGCTATTCTCTCTTTCGTTGACAAACTTTTTTTCAATTTTTATTCAAAAATTTTTTCATATTGTGTCAAAAAGTAATCGGCTATTCCAGATTCTTTAATTATATTAAATAATACATTATTACGAACGAACTCGATATATATATGTTTTTCGTATAAATTGTTTTTCATATCTTTTTGGATTTGATTTGAACTTTTCACTTAGCGATGTGTCATTGCAGGATTAATATCGTTCCGTTCGATCGTGAGTGTCAAACAAGCAAGGAATGTAAATCGGAATACCTCCCTCAGCGTTTGATAGTGATTTAATACACCGTTCTCTTCAACGTGTACAGCATAAACGTTGTTCAAGATGAGATACGTCGAGATAAATGATGTCGATCAGTGGGCATCTTCTCAGTATTATTTGGATAATCTGTCTTGTGCTTGCAAGAAAGGTAGTGGTGAGAAAAATTGAAGTGACGGAAATAGAGTGTGGTTAGGTTGTTCAAATCTTTGCCAGTCAAACTTTGTCAGGATGTTCTATAGGTATAAATGGAAAAAAGATGTTATACAAATATATAGATTGTCTGAAGCTTTATTAAAATATTGTCAAAATAAAATAAAAATCTGAAGAGAATGATAGTTCCAGAATTCCAGATCTCCAATTTCATATCTATACTATACTTTTATAGACATCTTTAAAGAAAAACCTGATATAATGACTCTGATTGATTCATGAGATGAACTTTGTAGATAATTTTGAAACGAGATAGTGATAATTAATGATTATATCGAACTTTGTCTTATAACGTAGCAACTATAAATCAATTTTTCAAAACCCTTTAATAAAGCTTCAAAGAACGTATGTCTAGATAACATTCATTTCTTATTTATACCCATAGAATATCCTGTAAACAAAGCCATGACCAGAAAAAATTAAGATCCTGTGTAAACATATGTGTCCCGTGTAAATTCGATTTCATGCAGACAAAAAAGAAAAAACACCATGGAAATTCTACAGCCTCGCATAAGATATACAAAGCATTTATTTTAGCCAAACGTAAAGGCGATTCACAATCAACATAAAATCGTAGTGTTATGAAACTTTATATTCATCGTACCATGTCAGAAAAAGACGAAAAGAAACTACGGAACTGGTTTTTAAATTGTACAAAATCGGAGTCCTGAAGAATACCGTGTTTAAATGCTTCCAATAAATTAAAAAAAAAA